GCCGCCGGAGCGGGCTCAGAGGCCCCGGACGGGAGCCGGGCAGGCGGGCACTGCGGGATGGCGACGCGGGCAAGGGGCCCGGCTCTGACCTCCAGAAACTCAAATCAGGGAAGCTCCCGCCCCCCAGGGAGGCACCGCACCCTTCCTCGTGCCAGGAATGCGGCCCCGGTGCCAGGCTCCGCCTCGGCTCGCCGTGCTGCCAGGCCGGACCTTTGTGCTGGGGACAGTCCCGCAGCGCTGCTGCCTAACGCTCTCCCTGTCCCCCCGGGCTGGCCCTGTGCTAGCCGCCTCCTGCGCATGCTCTCCCGCTCCCACCCCCAAGCCGCCCGAGGCCTCAGAAGAAACAGCACTTCCCCATTTGGTGCAGAAACGGAGATGCAGTGTGACCAGCTGACACACAGCCACTTAGTGGCAGCGTCGGGACACGAAACCCAAGGTGCTGTTCCTGCCCCCAGTTCCTACTTGGCTGCTAGGCCTGCCTGTGGGTGCCTCTGCAGGGGCCATCGTTGGAACCAGGAACGAGGGGCTTCCCCATGCTGACCTTAGCTGGGGCCCTCTAGGGGACCTGCCCTTGTCTGGGGCGTCCTCAGTCCCAGCTGGCGCCCCTGCCCCACGCCCCACCCCAGCCTGCTCCTGTTGAAAGCTTGTCCTGGGCCCAAGTCCCAGCCAGGCTGAGAAGTCCTCGAGAAGCTCAGGTGCAGTGGGGAAGATGGGTGAGCCTCCGATCCCTGCCCCAAGAGGTGGGCATGTCCTAGGGAAGAGTGTGGCTTCCTGAGGGCCAGGGGGTGGGCATGTGACCACCATCCAAGGATCAGCAAAAGCTCTAGTACGAACTTTAACCCCCACCAATGCCTGGTTCTGGAGAATCCCAGGAACGCCCCTTAGTGGCAATGCCCACCTCACTCCCCTGCCCCAACATTCTGGGACTTTCCATCACCCTGCCCCAGAACCTTTGGCCAGCACACCTCCACATCACCCACTCCTTTCCATTCGACACACATTATTGAGCCCCTGGGGGTAAAGGGGTCAGGAGTTGATTGTACCCTCAGAAAGCTCATGCCCCAGCAATGGGAGTTCTGCAACGTCCGCCAAGCCTCCGCGCTCTCCCCAGTTTGCCTCAGTTTTTGTCGGCCTGACAAATTCCTGTTC